GCAGTTCTCACCAAAGCCCCCAATTTTAACATCAAGATCACAGAGCCCACTCTCTCTACTAGACTAAAAGTTTAAACCCAAATTCATGAAGCTGAACAACAACAAGAAGCTATTATGGCCACCCTCCATCACCAGATGATTTTCAAACTTCAAGATCATTCATTTGACCATAACTTTCCCAACACAACCAAAGATGTCTTGTATATAGTTGCAAACAATCCAAGTGACTCATCGATCATCCAAATTCTAAGACATCAGCCCAAGAAGAACTTGCTCAAAGGATGCCGCTGGAATGGATCAAACAACTATGAAAAACAATTTCATGTCTAGGGGATGTTCACACCATAGAATCCCCTACACTTTACATACTTCAAGATGGTACTATCAAATCAATTTTCAAAAAGCTTGAAACTCAAGATCCAAACTAGATCTCTAGAAAAACACTGTTAATAGCCATAGCTTTCATTAGAAAGAAAGAGACCTTTCAATTGAGTGGTTTACCTTAGAGGCCAAACTAGTTTATGTCTCCTATATTAATGGTCATTTTATTTGAGATTGTGCCCTAAAAATATATGACCCTAGTTGTGATTACCATCTATGGAATTATTATGATGATGAAGAAGATTTTAGTTCTAAAAGAAGAACTAGAAAGCTTAAGCAACCTAGATCTCCATCCAAGCACAAGCATCCACCAAAGGATGATGATGATGACTATGGTCTTAGACATATTACAAATAGAAAATGGGTGGGCCCTCCAAATTCTCCTACTAAAAGGAGTACTCTCTTTGAACTCTTCAAGCAACTTGGCGACAAAGACCTTCTCCCTTGGAGGAGAAGCCACAACCTGTCATCCCAACTCTACTGCTTGCACAAGTTTGTGCCTTGCCTTGTATTGCATGATAAGACCCTATGAGGAAAATTTTCCCCCCATTGAGCGAAAAATAGATGACAAGATATAAAGGTCACTAGCAGACATTTCATATCACAAACAAAGTTAGTCCTCAAGGCACTCCTAAGCCGGTCTCCCCTATAGAGGAAGCTTTAAACTAGTAGTTCTTAGAATGTTGTCATCCAAAACAGGGTCTCACACAAAATCAATTCAAAACATGATCATTTAACAACAACAATAGAAAGCCTGCCTTGATAGGTTAATCAAATTGATGATCGGGTAAATAATCTATATCAAGGACTCTGTAACAAGAAAAAAACTTGGATACAAAACTCTGCAGATTTATTAAGGAAGGATATACTGGATTAGAGTATTCAGAAAAGAAAATGAAATTTCTAAAGTAAGAAAACAACTATAGCAAATAGAAGCAAATTTGGCTCACGACCAGTTTAAAACTATTTATGAGTCCTATCCAACCATATACAGACAATTCCTTACCTATGCTTCCATACAATGACCTATCCTACTGAGACTAATTATAATGTGTTTACCAATTTTGCAAAAGGGTACTAAAGTAATTTTACACATAAATTTAATCTCAAAAAAATCTTTTAAAACCTTATTGTCATTATTATATTTCGCGAGATCAAATTGTGATTTTCCTGTCTTAAAGGATTTATCAATCATTCTCCCATGAAAAAAAAAAAAGATGAATGTGGGATCTATAGTTAAAAAAAATGGGAATGGATATTTCAAAATTGATAATCCATGAATTTCATAAAGGTCAAGCCCATGTAAATATAGAAAATATAATTGAGAGAAAAATTACCTTCCATTAAACTTAACAATACTCAAATTTGACCAATTAAATAATAATATAAACAAAAGAAGAAAGATAGATAATATTTTATGTTTTACAAAATAAATAATAAAATGTAAATATATATCCATATAAGGAAAGCTTCATAGAAAATAATATGTCTCAACTTATAGGATTTTTTTTAAAAAAAATGAATGATGATATGGAACCTATAATAAAATATATATATATATATATATATGCAAAACATGCAATAAAATTACAAATTATTAATTACAAAAATTCTAAAATAGTTGGCATGCCACCCAACATATTTTTTTTATTTCTAAAAATTTTAATTTATGCATAGTAATATATTTTTTAAAAAATAATTTGATGCTTATATTTTCAACATATAAAACATAATAATTTGTGCAATAAAATAAATTATACTCTCTTCAGTCTTTATTATAGGATACTTTCAACAATTTCACAAATTTTAAGAAAAGTTAGTTTTTCTTTGGTATCATAAAAAAATTATACTTTCATTTTTACACTAGCTTTGAATGATAATACAATTATATTAAATACCTTCATACTAATTAATAAGGGTAATTTGAAAAAAGTAGTTTAATTGTTACAAAGTATTATATATTTTAGACCAAAAAATTACTTATAATTGTCTTATAAATAAGACCGGAGGGAGTATGTATTTACTTACATTGTGGAGAAGTAGAAGGGTAATAAACAATTAAAAAAAAAAGTTGCTACTGAAATAACTTTAAACATAAAGTCAAGAAACGAAAACAACTGGACCTAGGAGACCGTTTATTTGTTTTTTCAATTTTAATTTTGGGAAAATGACAATTAGGGACCCCCAATGATCATTAATTACAATTATAATAATGAACCATGATTCTTACTTGAAATTAAAAAATGCAAATAGTATAAAATATCCATAGAAGTGACTTTAATAAATTTTCAGATGACTATTGTATACTCACAAATGTCCTTGAAAAGTTTCGAAAGTGAATTTTAATCTCATATTGGGAAACAATCTATTGTCAATGGGTTTTCCAACTAAACTTAACAATACTTCAATCTCATAATGGTAATTTAAACAATGTCATTTCTTTATTTTTCAAGTGATCTATCTATACAATAACAAACATAAAAATTTACAAGTCATTGGATCATATTCAAAAGTGATTTTTGATAAATTTTTAGTGACTATTATATATTCACAAGTGCCATTGAAAAGCTTCATAAATAAATTTTAGTTTCATACTTAGAAACAATCCATTCCCAACTATTGTTCATTAGTTTTCCAACTGAGATTAATAATATTCTCATCAACAATCATTTCTTTATTTTTCAAGTTCATGGTAATTTTATAAACTCATGTATGTTTTTAATTTCAAATAAAGACCATAATACATTATTGAGATTTCAATAATTTATGCCATAATTGTAATTAATGGCCATAAGGAGTCCCTAATTGCTATTTTCCCTTTAATTTTTAAAAATTAAGTTTCACATTGTAATGTTACATATTCATTATCTAAAATACAAATTATAATGCTCTAAAATTCAAAATAATTAAAATAAATAATAATTTTAAAATAGAAACACATATTTTAAAGTCTAAATTTAATCCAAAATTTTAAAATATCTCAACTTTACAGGCTTAAAATAAATTTGAGATTAAACAGGCTTAATGTCTTGTTCTGTTGTTCAAGTGTAAACATAAGGGCACAGCTATAACAGATTTCCTAACAGAGACTTCAGAATTCCATGTACGCACAATACAGCATCATTGGCGTATGACTCCAAGCCAATGCCGGTAAAGCCAAAATCAAGAAATCTAGTAATCTACCAGAGGAAGAAAATGATGCTCTTCTTAGAGATAAGGAAAAAATATTAGTTTGGCAAAACAGGATCCAAACTCTACTTCATAGTTTAAGGGTAAAAATTCACACCTTTCTCCATCAAAGCCGGCCAACCACTACATCAAGATTCTGTGGCATGGCATCAACTGAATTCCTGAATTGATGGAATTGTCAATGGAGCTGTTATTTTTATAATCCCGAACGCAAACACTTTTAACCAAGATTCTACTCACTCTGGTGATTGTGAATCAAGCTGCATTGTTACTGGTCCATCATTAACCAAACTGACCTTCTCACCATCACAAATATGAGGACAGTTAACATGTGTAGCCGTTAGACATCAACACCCGACGCATTCATCATTAAAAAGAAATTGGACGGACATAAGCTTACCTTCATCATCGCTCCAAAAACTCCATCTGCAAGAATATGAAGCATCTTAAAATCAGAACATGACATAGCATTAAGTTCAACAGATTTACAAGATGCATTCAAGGAAAGGGGCACACACATCACCAAGGCTCCTTAAAGAGAATTCAATCTAAATAGAGAGAAGAAGCTTTCCAATGAATCGATGTCTATCAAATTATACAACACAACAGAATTGACCACTCGTCATGATAACTGTAGCCTCACCGTCTGTTCCTTTATAATTAGTAAAGTGGCAAGATGAATTATGGGTTTCCGTCAGTGGTTAATCCCAGATGTAAAAGACAATGGAAATAGCAAAAATTTTCAATTAACAATAGCTTATTTGGTTGAGGCGAAGAAAAAATTTGGTTGGCATTCCTTTGATACTTTTTATAAGCCACAAAAGAAGACATTGACGAGAATGAATTAAAATTACAACTGTTATGGAACACTGTGGTCATTAATCTATAAATTAAATAATGAATGAACAGTCATTAATAATTGGGAATACTATGGTATCTTAACAAAATAGAATTATCTGGGTTTGCACTGAGTTGGCAAACAAGAGTAGTTACTACCATCAAGATTCAAAGCATTCATGAGAATTCTGTTGTCCACCCAAATCCCTCTCTCTTCTCCTCTCCAGTATCAGACAGATTCTTTCATTTTTGTCAATGCTAGTTGGCTAGATTGGAGCTAACATCCTCGGTAGTGAATGGAACGAAGGAAAAGTGAAATAATTCTGCATCAATTTGCTAAACAATGAGACTGATAACTATGTAGTGGGAGATTTGGTGGCTATACTAGGCTATGCTAAATTGCTAATCTTCACTACCAGAAAAATTCTGTTAATACCATGAGTCGTGATGGGAATATCAATTGTTTTGAGAGATAATAAGACCCCCATGTTCTACATTGGGAAAAGGTGAGAGACTTGCGGCATTCCAAAGATGGCGAAATTTGCACCATTTATCGATTTACACATCTTCTCCAGATCACTTTGTTTATGCCAATTTTCCGTTGGGTTATAACAACATATACAAGGTATAAGCTAAAAGTGTACTCAACCTTACGGAAGGTACTTATGAGCAAATCCATGAATCATCATACTCAAAGTGCAACATTTCATTTCCTTATAAAGTTGGAGTTTGTTAATTACAACAAAGGTAAACGCCAGGTTGCTATTTCTTAACCATGAATGAACAAACGAACGAGCAACAAACAAAAATGCCTCTCCGTACAAGAAGAAGAAGAAGAAGAAGAAATAGGTGCCTTCGGCTGATAGGTGAAATACAATTGAAACTTACCTTTTATTGCGTCAGTGTTACAGGCATTCCTTGAATCTATCAACCAAAGAAGCATAAAAGGAGTTCGCTGAAAACCTGGCTTGTTTCCCTTAAGTAATCCATACAAGGTAAATTGACCCACTGAGTCACTGTCACAAAACCAATATTACTCGTTTAGTAAAATAACAAATAAAGTCCTTCCCACTTTGTTCTTCGTTAATAATTAAGAAAAATCGAATTAGCAAACATAATTCCAGTACCTAATAGAACTTGATAATGCATCTGCATTACCTGCAAATTAAGATAAGCCCAATTACACAAACGGTCAAAGCAACCTCCACAACTGATATCTAACATTTGACAATGAAATAAATTACACTTTGGTCCCATCCTTTGCCTGTACTTTCATTGGGGAACAATCTCACATTCAAGACTTTACGACTTCTGAAAGCAAAGCAGACCCAAAAAAAAAAAGTGACTACCCAAACCATAAATTATAAATTCCGCTTAAAAATTGAAGATAGGGGTAGAAGTACTCAAGTACATGTAGTCAGCGTCGGCATCGGAATCGGAATCGTGGGGGCCAACAAGGACGAGAAGGCCCGGTCCAACCGCGGACACAATGAGGCCGTCGACCTGGAATAGTGCTAAAATGCGCCGGTAATACAGGATAAGAGAATGAGAGAGAGTAAATAAGGTTTTTTTTTTTTTTGGCCAAAGTAAAGAAGGGTTGAAAGAAACTAAACTCGACGCTTGCGGAGGTGACGCGCTGAACATCGGCTCCCATTGCGGTGATTGGCTTCGCTTTCCTCTTGGTGAGTGGCAGAGAAGCTTGAACTTTGTACCTGGTGCGTGAATCTGTAGGTAGTGCTGGCTCGCAGCGGGTTTAGTGCTGCGGGATGTAGGCTGCAGTGAGTTGGTGCCACGATAAAATGTTTTTATATATATTTGAAAAAAACGTAACTTTCAATTGGATTTACTATCAGTCCTACACTTTATTTGTAGTATTATCAATTTCTCCAGTTTCTCCATTTAAACTTTAAATCCTTACATTTTTAGAGAAGTATTAATATGATATTAACAATATTAATTATGCTAATGTACACAATAGTAATGTTAATTATATGATGACATATCAGTTAGTGACTAATGTGTATTTTTTTGGAGAAAAAAAATTTATGTGCATTTTTAATAATTATTATTATATATATATATATAACTAAGATTTAAGACTACAAGAAAATATCATATGTCTATTTTTAAGTTTATTATAATTTTATATTTCATGGTACCTTTCTTACAATTGTGTGCACCAAATTAGATTTAGGGTTAGGTTCATGATGGTTTATTATTTTTTAATGTGTATAAAATATATCATTCAAGTTTGAAGTTCTGACAATTTTTTTACTTTCTAATTATTAAAAAAAAAAACTCCCTTGGGTCCTATTTACAGGATATATTCTAGAAAAAAAGTTTTATCCAAAGTATAAGATATTTTGTAATAATTGAACAATTTTTTTTAATTTTACTCTTTCTTGATTAATGTAAAAGTATTTAATATAGTTGTATCATTATTTAAAGTTTAGGGTAAAAACAAAAATACATATCATTTTTTATTATATAAAAAATTAACTTTTCTTAAAATTCATGAAACAATTGAAAATATCTTATAATAAAGATTGGGTGAAGTACACATTAGCTTTTTTCTTCCTCAGAAAAAATACATGACAGTCACTAACTAACACATCATTATATAATTAATAGTGTTATTGTCCACATCAGCATAATTAATACCGTTACGTCAACACTCCTCTAAAAGTGTAGAAACCTAAACTGTAGACGAAAAAAACTATAGGGATTTAGAATATCAAAATAAAGTGTAGAAACTAATAGCAAATCACGTGCAAAGTATATGGATTAAAAGTTATGTTTTTTCTGTATATTTTTTAAAATTTTAAAAATTATAAATTCATCATAATGTTAGAAGTTTTTTCTATCATTAATTATTAGCATTATGCAATTAAACATGAAAATATAATTAACACGTAGAAGCAAAATTAAATTTAACATTAATTTGAGTAAAAGTTAGCAAGCTAACCTTTTTTTTTAGGCTAGCTAAGAAATTATAAGTTAATTGAAGCAAAATGTAATAACAAGACAATAAAAGAAAAAAAAAAGTTAGGATTTGTCCTCAACTTAATAGCATAGTAACTCATAATTCAAAAAAATATATGGCTATATTGCTCATGCCTACTTAAAAATATTTCACTCAAATTAAATTGTGAAAAAGTCTTTGATTGAATACATATTATACTAATGCAATTGATTGGTCATGAATTTAAAAATATCTCAACTAATTAAATGTGATAAGTAATAATAGCAATATATAATAAACACATAATTTGAATTATTTTATTAATTTGAATAATAATTAGGGTATGAGAATTAAGAAAATGATTTTGAAACTTTTATCTTTTTTTAAAAAATAAGTGGGCCAATCAACGGGTTCAAACTATATAAAGCAAGCCAAAATCATCTCACATATAAATGAAACCTTTTTTTTTTTAAAACTCAACTTTTTTTTTTCTTTTGGATTGGTTGGTTGAGATATTATTAACTCTATTTGTAGGTGAGATGGTTACTAAGAGAGAAGGTATATCAAGGAAATTCATTTTTTTAAAATTATTATTGGCGGACAATTTTTTCAAAAATGCTCTTTTAATAGAAATGAAAGTAAAATTGGCACAGGTAGAGATGAAAATGAAGTTTAAAAATATATTTGTCATAAAAAAAAGTAAAATAAAAAAATTAATAAATATAGTTATATTTTGAAAAGATTAAAATATTCATAAATTTTTTTTTTTAAAAAAGCATCCTCTCCATCGTCTCCCAGGGCAACCATCCATCATTGTAGTCAGATTGAGCGCCACTGGCACCAAGAATAGTCCAGAAATCAAATCCAAAAAAGAAATCCTACCAAGAAGATTGATGAAGTATATTGAAGAGCCGGATCAAAGAAGCTCCATCCTCATCGCCGGAGACTGAAAGCCATTATCATCATTGAAGAAGCTTTGCATCGCTACCTCACCAATCATCACCACTATCAATATATACCAGAAAGTAGTTCCACCCAGCCATGCTTTAATAACCGGCTCTTGAGGTAAGATGTCGTTGTCATCAAGCTGTCTAAGGAAAACGGCTTTGTGAGCAGTGCCGGCTACAAAAATGGCTAGGGTTAGCCATTTAAAATTTTTGGGGCTTCATGTTTAATGCTTTGTTCTACAATACAATATGAATGAAGAAGATACATAGATAACAGCACTATAACCTGTCTCTGTTATTCTCTCATATTGCACATCGGTGGAGCCGTCTTTCACTTTCGTGGAGTCGCATGTTCTTAACAAAGATCCACTTGAAGTGGTGTTAATGCTTCAACATGGCTACCCATTTTTGGGATGCAATCCATTAGTTTCTTCGATCTCGGGGGGGTTATGAATGCAAGTTTAAATATAATCAACGCATGTTCATTTTCTTCAAACAAATAGAAGGATCAAAGTCGTTCATTCTTTGTGCAAGATGGCTGTTATTAATGCTTGTGTTCATAAAGGAAGATGAACGTCTTTTATTGTCTTTCATTTGTTTTGTCTATTCATATTAGGAAGTCAGGTCTTTTGGTTTATTTACACCCATACATAGAGGTTTGTTAAATCCATTAAATGCACCATTCGTTTTGTGTAAATAGAAGAGACGCTCTATAACTTTTTGGACAATGCTTTTCTTTGTTTTGTGTGAGCTTTCTTTGTTCTTCTTCACCAAGCTTATGCACGCAAGAATGGAGATGGATTTCGGGGACTTTGCCAGTCTCGATGCTTTAGGGCCTTCCTCTGGTGACTATAGGATCTTCGTGAAGGTGGATGGGGCTTACTTGAGGACAAACTTTGACGTGTATGACAGAGATATGGGGTGGCCAAAGAGGGTTCCATCTGTGGATTCCAATGTATTCGACCCTGCAGTGAGTTGTTTCGCCATCCTTTTTTAGTCATGTTAATCAAATATCCTCACTTGCATTTAAAAATCTTCACCTTTCCAAGGGACATGCATGATCAATCTCTGTTTTTGGAGATGCCAACATTAGGAGGTTTGTAATAGGCTTGAAGAGACAAAGACCTACTATATTCACTTTTTCAGTTAGGTCTGAAGGTCTTGGAGTGCATCGAAAGATTCACTTGGAGTTGGACGAGCGCACCGAGATGGTGGAGCACTCTGTAATTCATTCCTTCCCATTGCTTCAAGGTGAAGCCTGTTCGGGAACTCAGGTATGAGTGGTGGGTTGAGTTGTGAGCACGCGATTAGTACATTCATTTAATTTTTTCTGTTTCCTTCACTGTATCAACAATGTCACTTCTGTGAAATTACTCTGTTAATTCTCTGATGCAGATGTTTGTGGTTTCTTGAAAGAGATGGTTATATACGATTGGTATGAAGATGGAGGTATGCTGACCTGGGGGCTGGAATTTGTAGTGGAGGACAGTCGGTTAAGTATCTCTTTCAGGAATAGTTTTAACATTTTTCTATTAACATCCTATGGAGCTTTGGACATGAAAGATTGTATCTTTCCATTTTCAGCAGCGATAAGCTCGAGTGCACTCTGTTTGGTGATCCTGCAATTGCTGCGTGGACCAGTTTTGGAGAGAAGAAAGATAAGCCTGACCTCATTGTGGTTGTTCACTACGCTCTTGTCAAGAGAGACTCCGGTAAGGTATTCTACATATGGAAAAAGATCACTTGTAGTTTTATAATTAACTATGCCTTTGGTTCATTATTCCTGAATCCTTCTCTTCCATTTTCGCAAGACTGACCTCCCTCACGAATTTTGCTAATGTAACGAAGGTATATTTGGACCCACAAATTCCTAAAACTTCATGATGTTCGAAGGGTCTTGTAGGCGAAGGTTAGTAGAGGTTGCCATATCATGTGAGGGGTATAGAAGTCATATTCAGATACCGTACATACCAATAGATGTTGGCTTTAAAATCCATTTCAAACCATCTGTGCTTATGGATCGTGCAATAGCTCAATGTTTTTTTTTTGTTATAGCTGGACTTATGTACATATTTGATGTTCCTTTTTTCGATAATGTTGAAATTTGGATCGGACTTGCTTTTCTTGGTTGGCGAAGCCTGTATGTGTTAACAGAGATGGTATATCTCATCATCTCTATTTAAAAAATAGAACTGCTATCTCCATGAAATTTTAACCCTCTGTTTTATATCCACCAATTTTAAAGAATAGCAGCGGATTTTTTTTTATTGTTTAAAAAAGACGTACCAATTTCTGAGCATCTCTAGCCATGAATTGGTTTTCTTCAATGCATCTGAATGATAATATTTCTTTTAAAAAATATTGAAAAGAAGCAAGAAGCAAGTGCCTAATTTCAATGAAAACTTAACATCCATCTGATAATGACTGATCTGTAAAAATGATAATGACTACTCATTATCATTTTTACAGATAATTAATTCAATTGATATTGTTTGCAGGAAAAAAAAAATGAAATGACTATTCATTAATGAACCATGCCAAGCAAATTTGAAATAATAGTTTTATAATTAACAATCTGTCCAAACATTTGCCACGTGAAATTAATAGAGTGGAGCATTTAGTTATTATTTCAATAAAGCCAAAAATATTATCCAGATATATATGAGGAATTAACAAAGTGCATTCACATTAATTTCATTTCAAAGCCATTAATATGCGAAACATATGTATGTATGTATGTGTTTAATTGAGACATAAGATACAAAAAAGGTCTAAGCTAGGAATATGTGGAATGTGTGTGTGTGTTTGTATTTAATAGAAAACATAGATCACGGAAATGGTCAAATTTCACAGCTCAAAATTATATCAAGAATGGATTTGTAAGGAATAGTCACATCACGTCTTTTTTTTTTTACATACATTCAAATTGTACCTTTATAGATAAATTAGTAATCGATAATATTTGTTTAAAAATTATTGTCTAGAAAAGAAAAATGGTATAAAAATTTGGTTGCTGACAATGAGTTCATTCGTTCTCATTATCATTTTTGGGCTTAAGACATTCTCTCACACACAGTTTTTCTAAAAAAAAAAACTTGCAGATTGGAGCGGGTTCCTTATTGCTCAAAATTATTTGTTTTAACAAGGTTGACAAGTGAATTATATGAAATTGAATTTTTGTAGAGTTGATAAGGAAAATGGTCTCACATTTATTTATTTACAACCTGTTGCACAATTTGATTGTGACTAATCATTATCACTATTGGGTTTAAGCCTCTTTGTTCGTACACACGAATATTATTAAAAAAAGGCTTTATTGAACTAGCTTTCTTTGTTGGCCAAACTTATATGGATATAGTGATAAAGATCTTCACTTATGCTGACTTACTTCATTAATACCACTTGTATAGATATAGTAAAATGCAGTGCCTACCTACTGTAAAGTCTGTCCTACGACGACATAGAGTATAAAGTTTACTTCATAATTCTTTTTATTTCAAGGCAAACTCTGTAGAGGGAATCGATTTTTTTTTCACACTTTGATCTGCTTTTTCTACACCATTAATTTTGTAGTGCCATGCATGCACCATGGGATGTAGATAGACATATAATTCTTCACAACAATAAACAAAGGTGGCATAATGGCATGGAAATCTGCTACTCGTAGTCTTCGTATATCATTCGTCTAGGTTTTTTCTCATATACCTATCTACTAGCATTGCTTCAGAAAGCAAACTGACTTCTCAGAGTATCTTGCCTAAATGCCTTTAACAGATATTTGCGCTCCTATCATTTTAATGGGAGAACAACATTTATTTTCTCTTATGAACGTAAAACTAATATATACACCAATATTGCTTATAGCTAACTTTTCCTAACACGTAGCACAAGGCTGTATATCTTATAAGTGAGTATAAGATCCTAGAAGGTTAAAGATTGACCGCGCTACTTTACTTGACTTTTTCAATAGAAGTTTTGCTGTCATGTTCTTCTTGTGAAAATTCTTTCACCGTCCTTGATACTTTGCGTGTGGTGTTTGATATTCTATCCTGTCACTGTGCATCATTTACAGTTCTAGACAACTCATCCTGCCACCATTAGTGGTATGCATGTTTTGTTATCAGGCTTTTTACGTGTTGACCGATGATGTTAAGGTTATTTCACGTTTGAGGATAATTTCATTACCATATATATTTTTGCTTCAAATAATAATACTGAGTTATGTCATCAAGAAGGTAATTTCCATATTTTTTTGATTCTCTGAACATGTTTCTTTTTTTGTTTTCGCGGCTCATATGCTGTCCTTGGATGAGACTTGCTTTCCACTTTTGTTTTCAAGAGCCATTGTTTCTCACACCATATTCATTTGACATGGCTTAGCACTTCGGGGATCTTCTTCATGCATGCTTTCGGTCTAGTCTCTCATAATAATTTGGTCAGACCGTAAGATATCAAACACAATACTAGGAATATTCTTCATGTTTAAAGCCTGTGTGGTTGCCTGAAGTATTGCTTTATTAAATGCACCTGTTTCTTATTTTGTGTTAGTTTCATATATGTACACTGAATTTCCTATCTTCAGGCTTTGGTTTTGAGAAACCAACGTTCTCTTCATTTATATTTCGCTTTCTTTTTTCACTTTACAGAAACATAGTGTCAAATCAGCTATTTGTGTTCTATGCAATGGTGCAACTTTGATTGATGTGTGGGTCAACAATCAAAAGTATACATGCATAATTAAAGGCAAGAACTCATATTTCATAAGGACTCATTTAGGTTTGCGTCATGTAAGTAATGTATCCAATATAAATTACTTATTAATAGAGGACATGTCATGCACATCATGTTATTTTTGCATGTGCTCCTACAATTGCTGATACAATTTTGTATAAATAATTAGTCATATTTTCCTCAACGATTCTCTGTTGAGTTAATTGAGTATCAATGAAATAAGAAAATTAGATTCTCATATAAATTATTCTCATTATAGCTTCTCCATGTGCTCATACAAATGCTTACCAAAATTCATATAAATAATGTCCAAAAAATTTAAGGCCATTCATTGTCACTGTATTTTAAAAATCTATCTATTACAATCTTGTAACTTTAAAATTAATGGTTATGTTCAGATGCAATATTCAAGTTGATCATAATACATGCTAAGTCAAATTTATCATAATTGTTGGTTCCACAGATGACTTAATTTAAAATATTCTTAATTCTCAATAAATTCTCAAAGCAAAATTGATGATGAAAGTGAGATAAAAAAGTTTTCATCTATAGAATGGATATGAATCTTTAAGAGCAAATGGGCGTTTCGCATGCAAAGACAATAATTTCCCATCACTCTTTCATTTGCAATGACTATCAATAAAAGTCAAAGTCAATCACTAAGTTATGTTGGCTTGTACTTGCCAAAACCTGCTTTCACTCACGGTCAATTACATGTTGCTCTTTCTAGAGTGAAGACCATGGATGGTCTTAAGATTTTGACACATGATAGTGATAAACAACTAAAGTCTAAAACTATAAACATTGTTTATAAGGAGATTTTCTAAGACCTAACAAGAGGAGGAGGCATTGTAGTCCATTTTGTTATTGTACATGTTAAACTAAAATTGATATGCCAAGTTATGTATTATGGTAATTTAAGTTAATCAAAAATGCAATTCTGTTTATGAATTTCCGTGTACTGTATTATAAATTAACAATTGCATATATGTTGGCTTTTTTATGAAATGTAATATTTTTGTCTCATTTGTATGGGAGGAAAAAATGGTTAAATTGTTCTTAAAGTTTTTCTTCCCGTGCAACGCACAGGGAGTAATTTCTAGTTTTCGAAGAAGCAAATCCAATAAGATTTCTAAGTCTGCGATAGATAGAGATTTCCCAAGGGAGGGAGTCGTCGATGGAGTCATTGCAGATGGAACAAGGTTAGATAATGGAATTGGAGAGGTCAAGAGAAAGATAGCCATCATTCGAAGAGAAGAGGAAGGTAGCCGTCGTTCGGGAAGGAGGGAGGAGACTGGGTCATTCATCGTGAGCTGGGAAAATGGCAAAAGAGAGATTGAGGGCAAAGATGGTAAAATGGAGGAGAAAATAAGGGAGGAACCCAATTCTTAGGGTCTCGCCAAAGAATCAGTTCCATTAGATTCTATGTAACCCACTCCTCAGGAGAACTCAATTCATGAAAACCAAATATAAAAATTCATTGGTTTTTACTTGTAGGTCTCATTTGCCATAAGAGAAAAGCTTTTAATAGAATTGAAATTAGAATTGAAATTAAAATCAAAATCAGAATTAAAATTGAATTGAGTTTTGAAAGTGTGTTTGATATGAACATGAAATCATAATATAATTTTAATTAGCATATGTATTTAAAATAAAAAATAAAAACATCCTTTATTTTATTTTTTTTAATGAAAAACTTAGCAATTAAAAAAATAAAGAATGTACTTTTAAAGCTTAAAATACCTTTTATTTTATTTTTTTAATGACATATAAGCTAATTTCATGTTGGGTTTGTCATTTTCATGGTTTCTACAATGGAATTGGATTCCATCAATTTTGATGAAGTCAGATTCCTTCAAAAAAAGCAATTCCAGCATACCAAACAAGTCAACTAAACAATTTCATGTCTGGTTTCATTTCCTTACTCATAATTTTAAAATACCAAACATGGCCTTACTTTTACTTCTCTCCCAATTCTTTACTACCAAATGAGCCATTAGGCCTTTTGGACTATAGCAATGATGATACTTGATGATGAAAGCTGATGGAAAATACAAGTTCATGTTATAAAGTGAGAATTACAACCAAAACCTAGCAAAAAAAACTTATTTACAAATAAAAACAAATAATAAATTTCATTCAAAAGAATACAAATTCATGTTATTATTTTAATAACAATTCGTTTCATATTGATCATCATTTGCAAATATTTTTTTTATCATATCTTTAGATATGATTCTCCCAATAAAAGAAGTGAAAAAAATTGCACATACTAATAAAAATCAATAATAAAACTTTACAAATTTATTTTTTGAATTAAAATATAAACTTTTAAAAAGGTTAATATGCAATTTAAACTTAAACTATAAGTTTAGAGACGATTTG